CATCTGATTTAACACTTGTCTAGATAGGAAAACATCTGATTTAACACTTGTCTAGATAGGATATCATCTGATATTTTCCTCAATGTTACTCAGATGTAGGATTAATTAACCGGGTACCGTTGTGAATCAGTCTTGAACTGCAAACCATAACTTTTTTCCGAAATTTGAACAGAAAGTAAGATTTCCCCAACATTATGTTAATAATTTGTAACAACATTTTCGTAATTTCAAGAAGTTTATGATAGTTCGGTATTTAGAACAAAATGTTATGGGTCTAATATAATGGGTCTTCTAATATTATATAAACCTGACTTAAGATGGTTCTGCATGCTCAGTGCAAACCGTGTGTTGTTAGTCGTCTTGCTTCGTTTTTTTAGACTTCCAATTTTTTAAAACTGTATTCTATTCTGTTAAGGTTTGCTTTTATCAAAAAATGGAAAAACGATCGTTTTAAAATGTTTGTTTTATGCATATATATTTTCTGTCAGGGTAAAAACTTGGCAAAGTGCAGGAAAAGTAAATATTTAAAATCTTTTTTTTGTAAATGTTTGCCTTTCTTACGCTTTGCCAAATTTGGGCCCTGAAAGAAATATTTTCGAAAACTACTAAATATCGATCCTACATGACTAAACACACATTAGTAGCTAGAGCTTGCTATGTCTAGCTGTGTAAACCATTTAATTTTGCGATCATAATATTTCATAATCGAAATTTTCGTAATTTTAGCTTGAATTTTTTTTTATTTATAGATATGTTGACTGATAGAAACAAGATTCTAAAGTTGAACAGACACACAACAGAATAACCTCCGTCTCAAAAATCGATAACAAAGAATTCTCTTTATTTCCTGAAAAAATTACATATATGATAACATATAAAACTGTTATAATGAATGTTTATAATGAAAAAAGATTCTTACGATCTAATAGCTGATAACAAAGGGGTTAAATAGTTGGACAGTACCAAGTACTACAAGACGTTTTAAACTTCTGAAATAAATGACAATTAATTATTAACGAAAGTCACTAATTCTTTATATGAAAATATTCTTTGTTTAACTTTTTGAAAATGGATTCACAATGCAAGGTTGTTTACGATTTCGACAGGAGAACAAAGAAACCCGGGTTAAAATTGTTTGGTTAGGTGTCTCCGAGAGGGGATCTAAGTTAAAGACGACTTTACATGGAGACCTTGTTTTTTAAATGGTTGACAATAGATTATTTTCTAATTTGCCAACAATACTTTTAATATTGGCTTGAACTTAAGGTTACAGTGAAAATTCTATTTCCCCTGAATTTGATGTTTTGTATGGAACACAGAAGATTTTCAAAATTTGGTTTTTAGCTCAAATTTCACAATATTGGAGACAGAAAATGTTGATAATTTTAATGTTACTACTCATGTTCACTGATTTTGAATTGTCTGGACAAAATGTTTAGACTGATGCAACGTTTCTGCAAAATTAAAAAAATTTAATATATTTAATAAATACTGGAACATATTTGTTACATTGTATGTATGTATATCGACATATGCAAAAGAAAAACAAACCGGTTTGATTACCTAAGGGCAAATATTTTTTGTTAGGCTTTTAGGGCGCTTCGCACCAATCTTCTATTTCCATTGTGAACATCTCCTCTTTGTATACAATATTGTAAAACAAAAACATGAAACATTTCGCGTTTTTGAAACTTAATGAAAATACAGTATACAGTATACTAAATTTTTTTGAAAACTTTAAAAACTAATATTTTTTAAGTGAAGATTATACCGAACAACTTATTTAGAAGGGGGGGGGGGGTGCAAATTCGTCGTTACACTTCCATTTTAGGAGAAAGGGGGAGCACCTGACCCCTTGCCACCCCCCCATGGCCCTGAGTCTCGCTATTCATACATCGAATTTATTAAAATATTTTTTTTTGGTTCTTGTGAACCAAGGACGGAATCTTAATAAAAATTGATATTAGTCTTTTAAAAGTGTGTGTGTGTGTGTCTTAGTCCAAGTAATGTATAGGTTTCATTACAGTAATTACTGTTAATCTGTCCCAATAATATTTATCAGATTAAATTAACTATATGATGTATTTCATAAATTTAACAAATTACACTAAATCTTGATTTATCAGGTCTCTATATAGATATTCTTTGGTTTGGTTTGGTTTACGCCTCCAGCTGAAGAGATATTCCTATCTGATGTCCACCCTAGACAAAAATAGGTCAAAATAACAAGAAGTAGTTGGACTAGGTATGGATAGTTGAACTACTTCTCAAGAATAACCGAGAATGCACGAGAGAAGTATAAATATCCATACCTACAGTGTGTTCTAATAAACATGGGAATCAAATGACGACTTCTATGTCGTCTTTGTTATACGCGGCGTTATTTCTTAGACATAATTTTTAATTTATTTAAAATATTTATCACCGAAAACTAATTTTCTCGGGATTTTCAAAAATTAGTCTACCATTTTTTCACCTTTAAAATTGATGGAGATATCTAGAAATTTTCCTAGATTCCAGTTTCTTAAATTTCTTCCAAACTGTTAAAATGTTCAATATCTACGTTAATTTTAAAGATACTAAGAAGGTAGACCACATTTTGGAAAGCTCATAAAGTGTCAAGTGTACAGTGTTGTACACTGTACAGGGATACAGTACCTGATTAAAGTGTCAAGTGTACAGTGTTGTACACCGTACAGGGATACAGTACCTGATTAAAGTGCATCATATCCACTAAGGCTGCCAATCCCAGAGTTATTCCAGATCTTAATTTCTGTTCATAACCAAGACCAAGTTGTCTAAAAAGAGGATTGAAATGATAAAAGGGATTGTAAGACTGTAATTCTAAATGAGCCTCAATAAAGGATTAATAACTGAAAGAATTAACCAATGCTACAGTGAGACCTATAAAACTGTGGAATAGGAAGACAACTGTGAGACTCAAGTTATAATTTTAAATTGTCCAACGGACAGCAATTGTGCAGAGTGCACGGACCCATTACACTTATTAAAGGGACTGTAAAGGAAAAATGAAAGGGGGTATAGGCTGAAACCTAAGTATCTTAGGAGTTGAACGAGATCCATGAGAGTTCTATCTGATGTTCCTGTCTCGAGAAATTGATATTAAACTGTGTCAAATTTATACAAAAATCGGTATATACCAAATTTTGTATAAAACAGTAGGTTTAAACAGATTGTATTCAGCAAATACGCAACCAATCTGAAAACGACGATATCCCAGAGAAGCCTAACTAACTTAGGTTTGCTTCTATTATTATTTGAATTTAATAATTTTTCATTTTTAATAGATTAAATTAATAGTTATTATACATAATAATACGTACAAAATTTGGTATATACCGATTTTTGTATAAATTTGACACAGTTTATATCAATTTCTCGAGACAGAAAGATCAGATAGAACTGGCAAAGGTTTCGATCAACTCCTAAGATACTTAGGTTTCAGCCTATACCCCCTTTCATTTTTCCTTTACAGTCCCTTTATGTGATTTTCAAGCTACAGGTAAAACTATCTGCTTTATAACAACATTAAGTATGTACACACTTCACACAAGTTTGCTTAAATGTCGTCTTCATATTTCATAGTTTTATAGGTCTTCCTGTAGTTTACCTAGAATTGTTAAGTTTAGCTCTAATACTGGCTTCGGAATCCAACTGATACTAAACATATCAATGAATCAGTCAATAACCAATCTATCAATTAATTAATTAATTAATCATTCAATCAATTAATTAATCATTAAATTAATTAATTAATTATTCAATCAATTAATCAGTCAATCAATCAGTCAATAACCAATCTATAAATTAATTAATTAATCATTCAATCAATTAATTAATCATTAAATTAATTATTTAATCATTCAATCAATTAATCAGTCAATCAATCAGTCAATAACCAGTCTATCAATTAATTAATTAATTAGTCTGTAAATCAGTAAATCAATTGACTCAGTCACTAACCAATCTATCAATTAATAATTTATCATTCAATCAATTAGCCAGTCAGTCAGTCAGTCAGTCAATAATCATACAAAAAATTATTTAATCTAACTTTAAATTCATTCAATCAAACAATCAAGTAATTTACAAAAATTAATTCTGATGAAAGCCAATCATATTGAATAAAAAGCACAAGACCTTCAATTACATTCATCTTATGACTAAATAAAATCTTTATCCAAAAGTTACCTAATAAGTCATCACAAAAACATCAACTATTACTATGGTTACTTTTTAATGATTACAACCAACATAACAAATAATTTAAGCAATGACCAAGTCAACAAATCAATCAATCAATTCTTCAGTAAAGCAATCAATCAATCAATCAAATGAATACGAACCTTAGCACCCAACCCTATAGTAGTATTATTGGCGCTAGCAGTCCAGCCTAGAGTACATCCGCACTCGAGAGAAGGATTTATCTTTAACAAAAATATTATATTTTGGTTCAGTAATTCTACGGTCATTGTACGGACCCCTCCCAATTCATATTTCTTGGCAACTTCGCGTGATTATACTATTCTAGATCAGGTTAGGTTCAGATAAATAATATTTGAATTAAAAAGCGCAAGACCTTCAATTACATTCATCTTATGACTAAATAAAATCTTTATCCAAAAGTTACCTAATAAGTCATCACAAAAACATAAACTATTACTATGGTTACTTTTTAATGATTACAACCAACAAAACAAGTAATTTAAGCAATGACCAAGTCAACCAATCAATCAATCAATTCTTCAGTAAAGCAATCAATCAATCAATCCAATGAATAAATACGAACCTTAGCACCCAATCCTATAGTTGTATTATTGGCGCTAGCAGTCCAGCCTAGAGTACATCCGCACTCCAGAGAAGGATTTATCTTTAACAAAAATATTATATTTCAGTATTACTACAGTCATTGTATGGACCCCTCCCCCTTCATATTTCTTGGCATTCTCGCGTGATTTTACTTTACAAGTTCAGGTTAGGTTCAGATAAATGATAGTCACTTAGATTTTATCTAATTTTCATTATTTCATATTTCATATTCACCTTTTTATAAACTGAGCCACCAAATATCTGTCCATCGTTCATATTTGCAAAAAGAACAAAATCCCGCGTTGTTAATCCAACTCCCATATTATTCTTCGTCAGCTGGGTAAAACAAACATTTCAAATAAAAAACCGCCATTTTGATTTAGATTAAGAGAATAACCGCCATTTTAAATCTATATTTAATGAGTATACGCCATTTTGAAACTAAAATTTATGAATATCCGTCTTTTTAAATTAGAATTTGTGAATATCCGCCATGTTGAATCTAAATAAAATAAGTAAAATCTTAAAAATTTGACGAGTTTTTATTCTTGAAAAAATGTTTATCTTCCTTTGATTTTGAAGTGTCATAGGCCATTTGATAACCTGAAAAAAAAACCAAGATTAAATATATTTTGTTTAACTTATCCAGGAACCGAATTTAATGAATTTGAGCTAGGTCGCTGAAGAAGTGAACAATGAACATGGACAAATTCAGAATCACCGATTAAAATACGTGGTTGAACTGTCTCTGGACTCTAGAGAAATACAGTCATAACCAGGACAAGGCGGAACAAAAGTAGTCTTTGTTAAATAATTTAATTAGAAAAAACTCTAAAATGTGTTAACTTGTAAAGTTCTCTGATATTTATCTCTGTTTTGTTTATAATTACTTAACTGACTTAACAAAGAAGACTTTCATTCCAGTTTAAACTGTTTAAATTAATATTTAGAACAAAATTCTCATCTATACTTAATTTAAAATAAAAGTTACTGCACCAGCAAGCCAAGCACCATGTCCAATCACTCCCGACGCGTTCACCAAAGGCCCTGTAGTCCAAAACACAAAAATATTCTTCAAAAGTTATCACTTTCGACTTTATTTAACAAGCATAAAACGGTAAGACAAAAGTAACTATTTTTTAATGTAAGATTTGTTGACCCTTTATTTAAAAGTTCCAACAACGATTCACAACAGTACCATTGAAACCTTAATCTCTTGTTATGCTGACAATTCATACATTTTCGGTTTACAGTTTCTTTAGTATTATGAAAGCAGTCCCTATATAACAAGTCTAACAAGTTTGTTTTCCTTCTTGGTGAAAAACTCCCTCCAGGAGTAGAAATAATCAAGAAGGAATACAAATTTCCAAATTCTAAGAAGGAGTTTGTTGAACACCTTGAGAGTATAGAGCAGGGTTGTACAATATATTATTATGAAGGAACAAGTAATGAGCAGGGGTTTGGTAAGCTTGGTGAATGGTTGATTGGAACATCAGTTCCCTTCATATATTCATGGTGTTTACCAAACTCTGTAATCATATGCTTATTTGGTCTGGATACAGTATATCCTCAATAGTTTCCTTTAAATGTAGTTAATTTTGGTTAATGTAATATCATGAAGGAAGTTGTTTATTTATCTATCTATTTATCTATCCATCAATCTATTTATCTATTTATCTATTCATCAATCTATTTATCTATTTAACTATTTATCAATCTATAATTCATCTATTTATCTATTTATCTATCCATCAATCTATTAATCTATTTAACTATTCATCAATCTATGATTCATCTATATTTATCTATCCATCAATCTATTTATCTATTTAACTATCTAACAAATATCTACTTGTTTCTAGTATTATATGTCTCAAATTTGTGTCGTCATAGAGGCAAATGCTTTTTAACTTCAGAGTTATATATTTATATTTTCTATTTTCTTATATTTCCAGATATAATTAATTACAAAAAATCTGTTTAGAGTAAAGTTTCAAATTGAATATGTTCATATAATTTTATTAATTAGAAACACTTCCTGTAACCTTATATCTACATTACAATTCTCGAGTATATTATTGTAATCAAGAAACAATATTACTTAACCATAATTAATCTTATTTATCAATATTTATTCATATTCATACATAATCTTGTCATAATTTAGATAATAATAATAATTGTAACATTTAAAGTTTATGTAATCTTTTATCCTAAAATATATCTAGTGTGCAGGATTAATAAGTTTTTTAAAATAATTTTAAAGATTGGAATCAAGAAATTTTTAATTGGAATGTATAAATTTACAACACGTCAAATTAAGTAAAGAAATTGAGTCTTTGCCACAAACTCTGATTTTTTCTAATATTTATATCTATTTGTAGCCCAATGTCGTAGACCTTTGATACTTAAAACTATAAATTCTGTTAGATCAAATATTTTAAGTTTGATCATTGTACTGTACTGCTTGCCATGGCAGGTTGAAATTTGGCCCGGTACATAAAATGAACTGGGATATACCGTGGTTCTATCAACTTGATGCACAATTTGTTTTTTTCTGTCTCAACTTGACAATTTAAAAAAAAAGATTTGATGGGTATGGTTGGTAATAGTTCATGTAACGCTTAAAATGGAGGGTCACTTAAAATTTCTTTTTAAAATCACTTATTTCCAAAAATCAGGGATAAAAACCCCTAAAGAAAGATATCCTGCTCTCGTACTTTTGTAACCTGTTGATTCAGGAAAAAGTCCGGTCTGTGTAAAAAAAAAATACAGGATTGAAATGCATGTTTATAGCCAAATTTTTTAAGGCTAGCTCATTGAAAAAAATCAGACCGATAACTTTAATAGTTTGGGTGCTAGGAAGGGTTGAAAAAAATGCCAAAAAAAATGGTCAAAAAATGTAAAAAATATTTGTATCCTATTTTGAGCAACATTATTAATTAACCTTGTTCATCCCTACTCTTTAACTTTTTCCAGAGAAAAGTGTAAATTTATTTGTGTTTGCCCAAGGGAAACAAAGTGATGAATTGCACATTTTTATGAGAAAAATTTGCGCATTTACAAGATGAATATAGCTAAATTTTAATGTTTTAACAAAGTTATAAAACTTTTTTAATATTTAGACATATTAACATTATCATCAACACAATTGAATATACTTATTAATTAATATTAAAAAATGTTTAATCTGTTAATAATGTTCTTAAAGATTGGAATAAGACTACATATTTACTTAGAGCTAGAATTTTCTTCGGGAAAACTGCACTTCACCGGAAATTGACTTTTCCTCATGCTGGAAAACTAAATTCCCGGTAAATCCTCACAAACAGTAAATAAATAGTTAATTTTTTCTTTTAAACAAATATCAAAGTGTGACACATGTTTCTACATCATTTTTTTCAAGGGCTTTTCAAAAATATAGTTTTTAGATCTGTAGCTTTAGTTACAAAAAGTTAAGGGCTATTTTAGATTTTTTTACACAGACCGGACTTTTTCCCTTTGCATTAAAAAAATGTTTTTTTACAAAAAATCCTTTAATTTTTTTTATTAAAAGTCANTTGAAAGGAGCCTTAAATCTAAATTTCCCTGACCTTCTGTCCAAGGCTTTATAAAGAAATTTCTCCTCACCTCGCCCATTAATGGATCTTCAGATTCATCCGCTGAAACATTTCAATAAAAACAAATCTGACTGATGAAATTTTGTTAAAAATAATGAAATTATGAAATCTGAATTCAAGTTCCCAACTTAGCTGTATCCCCCTGGCTAGGCTATAAAACCGTTTCTTGTATAAAAAAGTAACAATCTTAAATTCTGCTTAGGTTCACCCCTTTCTAATATTTTCCTGTTTATTAAGGGTTTGCGTAGTGAAACAGAAACCAGGGGAATATACATTTCCTGTCTATCCCCTCAATACGAAGGATGTTACGATGACAAGGGGAATTACATTTCTCCAATATTTAATCTGCTGATGAAGAATATGTTTTCTGAGTTGTTGAAGGAGCTTGAGGTAGGGATAGATATTATCTTTTTGTCACATATAGAAATATATAAAAAATATAAAAAATCCTTTTAAATATATGTTGCACATCTGAAGAATATAAATTAGATACTGAATATATCAACCTACTTTAAATATATGTTGCACATCTGAAGAATATAAATTAGATACAAAATATATCAACCTACTTTAAATATATGTTGCACATCTGAAGAATATAAATTAGATACAAAATATATCAACCTACTTAAAATATATGTTGTACATCTGAAGAATATAAATTAGATACAAAATATATCAACCTACTTTAAATATATGTTGCTCTTCTGAAGAATATAAATTAGATACTGAAGATATCAACCTACTTTAAATAAAAACATTTTCCTCTAACTGTTGAGCCTCGAATACAGGTTTATTGTGCATATTAAAATTAAATAATTCTATAACGCAGGCAAATAAAAGAAACATTTCTGTTAAATGATCAATATGTTTCGAAATAATGAATTCAGAAAACATTGAAAAACATTCAAAATTTCATTTCTTCCGTTGAAGTATTATTTTTAGAACAATTTTGATTGGACAGAGTAAAAGTTAAATTTAATATACATAATAAAAATTGACTTTATACCCTATACTACATCTTTATTGTTCCTTGTTTATCTACTTATACTACGTCGCGTATGTAAGTTTGACATAAATTTAACAAAACCATTTCCTTTACAATCTAATTTATCACAAAATTCTAAATTTTACTTCCTCTTGATTTTCCTTCGGTCAAAACCTGGAACAAGTAGTTATCTGTATTTTTTAAAGATGTCCGAAATATTAATTAATTCTACTTGGATACCCTGTGGCCTGATTCCATATTAAATTCTGTAAATTCCTTTTGGCTGGAACAGTGGTTGTAGATTAGGAATATCTCACACAGTAGTTTTGATCTCTAGACTAATACATATTTTCCAAAACAAAATTATTATATTTGTAATTCACCTTAAAATATTGAATTCCATAAATTGCTTTTTAAAAACATTAATACTTTATTTATCATTTTCAAATTTAGATATGCTATAAAATCTGTATAAACATATGATTTCACATTTTTCTAAAATTTAGATATGCTGTAAAATGTGTATAAACATATAATTTTAAAACTATGTTGATGTGGTCCCTCTCTAGAGAAAGACCAAGCAAAAGAATTTGGTGGAGTTCTGGGGTGTAGAGGATATCTGTAGGGAGATGGGTGTTCCTTTACACATTGATAATTTCTACACTGTGCTTCCATGGTTCATAGAAGGTATTTATATCAACTGCTAAAATCATTTTAAAAAACAACATTTTTTTAAAACATAAAAACTTTATTTATAATTTTACATTTCTCTTTCAAATTTAGATATGCTGTAAAATCTGTATAAACATATGATTTTACATTTCTCTAAAATTTAGATATGCTATAAAATCTATATAAACATATGATTTTACATTTCTCTAAAATTTAGATATGCTGTAAAATGTGTATAAACATATAATTTTAAAACTATGTTGATGTGGTCCCTCTCTAGATAAAGACCAAGCAAAAGAATTTGGTGGAGTTCTGGGGTGTTGAGGATATCTGTAGGGAGATGGGTGTTCCTTTACAACGTGATCTTTTCTACACTGTGCTTCCATGGTTCATAGAAGGTATTTATATCAACTGCTAAAATCATCAATATATTTGTATGATTGATATTTTTGTAAAAGGGAGTCGGAGGCAAGCATAATATGGTTCCTACAACATAAATATCTTATATGACGTATTATGCAACAAAATCAAAATATGATTAAATTCTAAGCTATGCAGTGGAATTTTTTAATGATTTTACCAACACTCAACAGTAAAAATAGATTAAAATATAGAGAGTAAAATATCTTCCATATTTATGATTACATTGTTGGAGACAGGGTAACTGAAATGTTATGCCTTAATTATTCAAATACAAAATACCACTGTGATCAATAAGTTTCGCTAAAATTTTCTTACAGGTACTTCTAGAAGTCTCAGCTCTAAAATTTTTTTTTAGTTCACTATATTTATACTTCAAATATTTTTGACCAGGTTGGCTTCAAGCAGATTGTTGTTATGATGTAAGGAGTGTTCTCCTGGAGGTGGATTAGCTTCGTTGTTACAGCATAGGAATATCTAGAATATTGACCAGAGAAATAGGACACTTTGGAGGCTCGGTTACCCAAAAATGTTTTTATTAGACAATGCAAAAACCAAACAGAACCCTTAAACATGATCCAGAACGTATTTTAAAACGATTTTATGAACTTTCATGGTAGTTTAAAAAATGACAACAATCTGGGCAAATCTTGTTCAAAGTCTCTGACATAGGACCAGAGGGAGAACATTGATTATGTATCTCGTTTTTAAATGAAAGCCAGCAAACTCCTCAGAATTCCTTCATACATTAAATACTTGACCTATCTTTACTTTTGATTGTTCTTAACAAGGATGTAATGCAAGGAAAGTTATTTCAGAGGTGTACGCATCTTTTGTACTGCAGTGTACTGTCACTGGGCGGAAAAGTAAACACAAGACGGATGTCGAAGCCTGACATGGAATCTATCTTTCACATAAAAAATCAATGAAATATTCNACACAAAGAGAACATGTTCACAATAAATTTAGAAGATGGGCGCGAAGCGCCCTCTAAGGCTAGTAAACTAGAAAACTCTAATAATTAACCAATAAGAATTAAACTTTGCACCTAATCAGTCATTTATAAAGATCCAGACTGTTTTGAAAATTTGCATCAATTTTTAAGACTGGGTCGACTTTGAAGTGTTTCAAGGCGTTGGTCTTTGATTTTACATCATTATCTCATTTATACTTTTTGTAGCCTTGGACATGTAACATTTTAGAACTTGTTTTTAGCTTTAGATATTTAATAAGTAATTAGCAAACTTTTCCTCGATTTTGCGTTTGCATTGAGCATTGATCATTGACCAGCCATAAAGTTGATTCTAAACATTTGTTTTAAAGCAATGATGCAGAAAAACTTGCAAAAATTAGTGAAAATTGGCAGGCCCTCCCCTGAGAATATGATGCATCTATTTATTTAAAAGATTAATTTTGCAGCCTTTTCATAGCATTTTTATATCTCTATTTCTTAAAAGCACTTAATTAATTTCGGAGTCAAACTCTGTATAAACAAATATACTAAATATGAATATAAAGATAGACTGTGTACACAAAATCAAACATATTCCCAAGAGAAGCAATTATAAAATTATAAAAATAGTAAAATTGGCAGGCCCTCCCCTGAGAATATGATGCATCTATTTTTCTTTCGATTAATACTTTAATGTAACATTTTCAAAAAGCATTTTTAATTGCAATGATAAACACCAAGGCTAACTCTTTTGATCATATCTGAAATAATTCTAAAATGTGTTTAATTTTATGCAAGGCTTTTTAAAGTCCGAATGCATTTAAGATTTAGGCTTTTTATTACAACATCCATGGGGGAGGGAGAGTGCAATGTTTGATTTTTTTCACCGTTTTTCAAAAATGTGTATAAAAATAACTGTTTTTTGACACCCTGTACAAACCCACCAAACACATTTTACAAAAAAAAACAAGCAAAAATGCAGTTACTATAGTTTTCTACCTGGACAAGTGTGGTGAGTTGGCATCATATATATATATCATTCAATTAACATTCAGATGTAATTTATCAAATCATAAAATTATTGAATTTTTTAATTATTTATTTAAAAAAAAAATACATAAAACATTAGAAATATATTTGTAACTATTTGTAGTGAAGGCAAGCAAACAATGCCTGGTGGTGGTTGATGAATATGGAGATGGTTTTAGGCCTGAAATTAGAGAATGTACATTGCGCTTATCTCCGGAAGAAGAAGAACTCCTGAGGTTAGATAAATTCAGCATGTTAGATGCTAAAGAGATCATCATATCTATAAACCTAACTCTAATGATAGATTCTGAACTTGCTAATGGATTACACATAGACAAGACATTTGAAGTTCATTTTCTATCTAATATATTGAGGAACTCAAGAAATATTTGCGAACACATCAAGGATTTTGGTGACACTTATTGTTTCGAAAGGTATAAACTTTCAACAGTATTAGGATATAAACCAGAGGTGGTTAAGGGGGATGTGGATAATCCTAGTTATTACAAGGAATCCATAAATGTGATGATGAAGAAAGCAGATAAATTTATTTGTTTAAAGCATGAAAATAAGTTTAATTTCTCTCTCTTTGAAGAACAGCTTAATGAGAGAGAAATTACACTGTTCAGATATGATGATGTAGAACATGATTGTGATAAACTACAGGATTTTATAAAATCTGATAGTGGTTGTCTGTTAACCAACTATATACTAGCTAGAGGAACAGAGTGCCAATCCCTGTTATAAACCAGAGGTGGTTAAGGGGGATATAGATAATCCTAGTTATTACAAGGAATCCATAGATGCTATAAAGAAGAAAGCAGACAAATTTATTTGTATCAGAGAGAACAAAAAGTTTAATTTCTCTCTCTTTGAAGAACAGCTTAATAAGAGAGAAATTAAACTGTTCAGATATGATGATGTAGAACATGATAGTGATAAACTAAAGGATTTTATAAAATCTGATAGTGGTTGTCTGTTAACCAACTCTGGACTAGCTAGAGGAACAGAGTGCCAATCCCTGTTATATTATCAGGATGGTACCTTTAGTTACTCTATGCTACGGTGTACAGTTAACCTTGTTAACTGTATCCCACAGGGGGGTGTAGATGTGCTCTCCCTGGGACCAGGATCCCTCGTGATCCTAGGAACCCCGGGAGATCCTGCTCTATACACCCAGCTCCAGGTTGAGTTAAACAAGACACCATATAACAAGTCTAACAAGTTTGTTTTCCTTCTTGGTGAAAAACTCCCTCCAGGAGTAGAAATAATCAAGAAGGAATACAAATTTCCAAATTCTATTAAAGAGTTTGATGAACACCTTGGTAGTATAGAGCAGGGTTGTATAATATATTATTTTGAAGAAACAAGTAATATAAAGGAGTTAGCTCAGCTTCGTGCATGGTTGATTGGAACATCAGTTCCCCTCATATATTCAGAGTGTTCACCAAACTCTGCAAAGATATTCTTATTTGATGTGGATACAGTATTTCCTCAATAGTTTCCTTTACATGTGTTTTATATTGGTTAATGTAATATCATGTAGGAAGTTGTTTATTTATCTATCTATTTATCTATCCATCAATCTATTTATCTATTTATCTATCCATCAATCTATTTATCTATTTATCTATTTATCTATCCATCAATCTATTTATCTATTTATCTATTCATCAATCTGTTTATCTATTTAACTATCCATCAATCTATTTATCTATCCATCAATCTATTTATCTATTTAACTATCCATCAATCTATTTATCTATCAATCAATCTATTTATCTATTTAACTATCCATCAATCTATTTATCTATCAATCAATCTATTTATCTATTTAACTATCCATCAATCTATTTATCTATTTATCTATCCATCAATATATTTATCTATTTAACTATCTTACAAATATCTACTTTTTTCTAGTTGTCTCAAATTTGTTTCGTCATAGAGGCAAATACTTTTTAAACTTCTGAGTTCCATATTTATATTTTCTATTTTCTTATATTTCCAGATATAATTAATTACAAAATATCTGTTTAGAATAAAGTTTAAAATTGAATATGAAATTCATTATAAGTATTTCATATAATTTATTAATTAGAAACACTTCCTGTAACCTTATATCTACATTACAATTCACGAGTATTTTATTGTAATCTAGAAAAGATATTATTTAACCATAATTAATCTGATTGTTAAATATTTATTCATATTTATACATAATCTTGTTGTAATTTAGATAATAATAATTATTGTAACATTTAAAGTTTCTGTAATCTTTTATTCTAAAATATATCTAGTTCTAGAGTTCATTAGTTTTTAAAATAATTTTAAAGATTGGAATCAAGAAATTTTTAATTGGAATGTATAAATTTACAACACGTCAAATTAAAGTAAAGAAATCGAGTCTTTGCCACAAACTCTGATTGTTCTAATATTTATATCTACTTATAACCCAATGTCGTAGACCTTCGATAGTAAATTCTGTTAGATCAATTAATTTAAGTTTGAAATATCAAAGGTTTTAACCATCAGGTTGCCAAGAAATAGCGATTAGAAAATTTGATTTTGTGGCAAAGGCTCAATTCCTTTCACGTTACATTGAAATCTTACATGTTTTAATCAAACAGCTATTATTAAACAGCTAACGTACAGAACAAAAATGTTTTGAATTTTTACTATGTTTATTACATAAACAAATAATCTTGTTTTTCTAAAAACTAAATGAGCTACGAGGTCACAAAGGTGTGCTGGTAAGGTCGCATAAATTTACCCTTCTTTCTGTCTAGTGGAGCATGACAATGCTAATTATAAAGATAGATAAAATTATTCTACACAGTGACCCTCACAGGACAAGACTTTAGTGACCACATGGAAACCTTGAAATATGAACAGCTGACAACTGAATCCGGACTTTTGTACTTTATAAATATTAAAAGATATATTAAATAGCAAGGATAGAGACAATTGTGTGCATTGATAGGTTACCAGAGATATATTAAATAGCAAGGATAGAGACAATTGTGTGCATTTATTTTTAATTGCGATGATAAACACCAAGGCTGACTCTTTTGATCATATCTGAAATAATTCTAAAATGTGTTTAATTTTATGCTAGGATTTTTGACCAATTTAAAGTCCGAACGCATTTAAGATTCTATACTAGTCTTTTATCACAACAACCATGGGGGAGGGAGAGTGTAATGTTTGATTTCTTTCACCGTTTTAAAAAAATTTCTAAAAATGACTGTTTTTTTGACACCCTGTATACCAAACTTCTTAACACGTTTTACAAAAACAAGCAAAAAAAATGCAGTTACTATAGTTTTCTACCTGCACAAGTGTGGTGAGTTGGCATGGATTGACTCATATATATATCATTTAATTAACTTTCAGCTGTAATTTATCAAATCATAAAATTATTGAATTTTTCAATTATTTATTTATAAAATAAATACATAAAACATTATAAATATATTTGTAACTATTTGTAGTGAAGGCAAGCAAACAATGCCTGGTGGTGGTTGATGAATATGGAGATGGTTTTGTCCGTGAATTTAGAAAAGGTGAATTCTGTTTATCCCCGGAAGAAGAAGAACTCCTGCGGTTAGATAAATTCAGCATGTTAGATGCTAAAGAGATCATCATATCTTTACACCCAACTAACTTTGAACTTGCTAATGGATTAAACATAGACAAGACATTTGAAGTTCATTTTCTATCTAATATATTGAGGAACTCAAGAAATATTTGCGAACACTTCAAGGATTTTGGTATCACTGTTTTAGATAGTAGTAAACTTTCAACAGTACTGGGATATAAACCAGAGCTGGTTAGGGGGGATGTGGATAATCCTAGTTATTACAAGGAATCCATAGATGCGATGATGAAGAAAGCAGATAAATTTATTTGTATAAAGGAGGAAAAGTTTAATTTCTCTCTCTTTGAAAAACAAGTTCAAGAGCGAGAAATTACACTGTTCAGATATGATAATGTAGAACATGATTGTGATAAACTAAAGGATTTTATAAAATCTGATAGTGGTTGTCTGTTAACCAACTATGGACTAGCTAGAGGAACAGAGTGCCAATCCCTGTTAAGTTATCAGGATGGTATCTCTAGTTTCTCTATGCTACGGTGTACAGTTAACCTTGTAAACTGTATCCCACAGGGGGGTGTAGAAGTGGGCTCCCCGGAACCAGATTGCCTCGTGATAGGAGGATTCCCGGGAGATCCTGCTCTATACACCCAGCTCCAGGTTGAGTTAAACAAGACACCATATAACAAGTCTACCAAGTTTGTTTGCCTTCTTGGTGAAAAACTCCCTCCAGGAGTAGAAATAATCAAGAAAGAATACAAATTTCCAAATTCTAAGAAAGAGTTTGATGAACACCTTGATAGTATAGAGCAGGGTTGTATAATATATTATTATGAAGGAACAAGTAATATACAGGGGTTTGCTCAGCTTGGTATATGGTTGAGAGGAACATCAGTTCCCCTCATTTATTCACAGTGTTCACCAAACTCTGTAGACATATACTTACATGATTTTGATACACTTTAAAGATTGGAATCAAGAAATTTTTAATTGGAATGTATAAATTTACAACACGTCAATTCAAAGTAAAGAAATTGAGTCTTTATCACAAACTCTGATTTTCTAATCCCAATATCTATTTGTAGCCCAATGTCGTAGACCTTGTATACTTCAAACTATAAATTCTGTTAGATCAAATAATTTAAGTTTGAATTATCATCAGGTTGCCAAGAAATAGGGATTAGAAAATTTGGATTTTGTGGCAAAGACTCAATTCCTTTCACGTTACATTGAAATCTTACATATTTTAAGTTTTACGTCCACTTATCAAACAGCTAACGTAAAGAACAAAAATGTTTTGAATTTTTATTATGTTTATTACGTAAACAAATAATCTAAATGAGCTACGAGGTCACAAAGGTCTGCTGGTAAGGTCGCATAATTTTCTGTCTAGTGGAGCATGACAATGCTAATTGTAAAGATAGATAAAATTATTCTACACAGTGACCCTCACAGGACAAGACATTTGTGACAACATGGAAACCTTGAAATATGAACAGCTGAGAATTGAATCCGGACAATTTTGTACTTAATAATGTTTAAAAGATATATTAAATAGCAAGGATAGAGACAATTGTGTGCATTGATAGGTAACCAGAGATATATTAAATAGCAAGGATAGAGACAATTGTGTGCATTGATAGGTAACCAGAGATATATTAAATAGCAAGGATAGAGACAATTGTGTACATTGATAGGTTACCAGAGATATATTAAATAGCAAGGATAGAGACAATTGTGTACATTGATAGGTTACCAGAAAAAAGAGTAAATAAATACCAGACAATCGTCCCTGAATTCTTATCCTTTGTGGGTGACCATGTATTAATTACAAAAACTGAATAGCAATTATCTAGCAATGCAAATATGCAATTCAGAATTCAAACCAGTTTAAGAGTTTTTGCAAACACAAAAGTTCATAAAACAGAACTTTATGAATGTACATTGCTAATCTAATAAGTTACCAATAATCATAAAATAGCCCAAGTCCTGTCATTTCCAAAATGTGGTCTGATTTCATGATTACCGGAGATAAGAATGATTTCGTTCAGAATTAGACATTTTCATAGTTAATTTAATAAANCATTTTCATAATTTTATTTAACAAATTTAATTTAAACTTGAGTTTCAGGTCGTCAACAAAGGGAATGTCGACGTAATTTCAAGTGAACCTCCATTTCAGAATAAAGTGACATTACAACAGTACTCTTAAAAACTTCATTTGAGATAAACTGATGAAGATATCCTGGTTTTCTATCGGGATTCGGGAAATAGAAATGATGACTTACATAAGAGACAAGTGTTAAATCTTCTGATTTAACACTTGTCTAGATAGGAAATCATCTGATTTAACACTTGTCTAGATAGGAAAAAATCTGATTTAACACTTGTCTAGATAGGAAAATATCTGATTTAACACTTGTCTAGAAAGGAAATCATCTGATTTAACACTTGTCGAGATAGGAAAACATCTGATTTAACACTTGTCTAGATAGGAAAACATCTGATTTAACACTTGTCTAGATAGGAAAACATCTGATTTGACACTTGTCCAGATAGGAAATCATCTGATTTAACACTTGTCTAGATAGGAAAACATCTGATTCAACACTTGTCTAGATAGGAAAACATCTGATTTAACGCTTGTCTAGATAGGAAAACGAAGATATTTCCTCAATGTTACATAGATGTAGGTTTAAATAAATGGTATCGTTGTGAATCAGTCATGAACGGTAAACTATAACTTTTTTTCGTTTGAAGAGAAAGTAAGTTCATAACTTCAAGAAGCTTGTGATAGTTCGGTATTTAGAACAAAATGTTATGGTTTTATCTAACAATACGATTCTCTAAAAATGATGCGATTTTTAAAATTTTTCCGACATCTTTTTAAAAATCTCAGTCTTTCTTATAATTTATAAACCTGACTTTTCATTATCTTAGGATGGTTAAGCATGCTCAGTGCACACCGTGTGTTGTTAATCGTCTTCCTTCGTTTTTTTAGACTTCCAATATTTTAAAATTGTATTCTGTTAAGGTTTGCTTTTATCAAAAAGTGGAAAAACGATTGTTTTAAAATGTTTGTTTTTTGCATATATATTTTCTTTCAGGGTAAAAATTTGGCATAGTGCAGGAAAAGTAAATATTTAGAATTTTTTTTTAAATGTTTGCCTTTCTTACGCTATGCCAAATTTGGGCCCTGAAAAAAAATGTTTGCAAAAACTACCCAATATTCGACTAAACACTCGTTAGTAGCTAGAGCTTGCTATGCCGAGCTCTGCAAACCATTTAATTTTGCGATCATCACATTTTATAATCGTAATTTTCGTAATTTAAGCTCGAATTTTATGATATATATATTGTTTCCTAATTTGCCAACAACACTATTAATATTGGCTTGAACTTAAGGTGACAGTAAAAATTCTATTTCCCCGGAATTTGAATTTATGTATGGAACACAGAAAATTTTAAAAATTTAGTTTTTAGTTCAAATTTCACAATATTGGAGACAGAAAATGTTGATAATTTTAATGTTACTATTCATGGTCACTGATTTGATCTTGTCTGGACAAAATGTTTAATATATTTAATAAATACTGGAACATACAGGGTGTCCCACGAAACATGACAGTTGGTAAATACGTTTGAATGTCTTCTTCCATGTACTGTATTAGATATTAAAGACTTATTGCAGTTTATTTCTTTAAAAAAATGTTTAACTCATATATATAATACTGTGATCAATTTTACTATAGTATAACTGTCATATAAAAGACGTTATTAATCTCTTTAGTATCAAACAACTGATCAAATTATGGAAGAAGACATTTTAAACTATTCATCAACTGTCATGTTTTGTGGGACACCCTGTATCTTCCACATTTTTGGCCAAATAAAAGGTTAATTGGTACCGTTGTGATTCGAACATGACCCTATATCAATGAAGATTCATTTAAAATTACGACAGTCCCAATAATGAGTGTGAACCAAATACCGTGATTTTAAAAAGTTTTAGGGTAATTTAACCTCATAGTTAACTTAAAAACTCAAAAAATCAGATTATTTTGAAATATCATTTTTTTGGGAATACACTCACCTGTTTTTCTGGTTTAATTTATTCTATTTTTCTATTTGGACTCCCAAGACCATCTTAAATAATTGATACCCATCTCCTATTCTAATAAAAAATAAATATGCAACACATACAGGTTTACTAACACAGAATGAGACTGTAAAGGCGCGCATGGAAACTCTCAAAATATGACGATTTCAAGGTTGAATTAGATCATCTGCCTTAGATATAGTCTTTTAAGGGCTTATTTAATTCTGTAGTAAAGAGCGAAACCTGTTAACAGTGGCAGGGAGTTGAGGAAACAGACAGTGTGAATTTCGTACAATCGTCTCTGAAGTCTCATCCTTTGTGGGAAACCTTTCAACATATATTAATGTTAAAATAGACCCGTAAGCGTAAAGCTATAGATAGCGAGTTAAAATGATGGTACCCTTGAAACCTTAATCTGATCAAAAATTGTGGAAGATAACGTCGTTTTTATGATTTAAAAAGTGTGTAGTTCTGAAATTTTTTCTATTGTTTCTTTTAAGTACGAAACGCAAAGGAAAATAAACAGTTTAAAGAAACAAAAACATGTATATCTTATTTATACTTGATACAAAGCTTTTAAGGGTACCGTTGTAAATCAGACATTACACTTTATAAAATAAGAATCACTTTAAATTATGACTACAGTCTCTTAAAGGGACTGTAAGCGTAATTTCAAGTGATCCTTCATGCAAAGATTGCAATGCCCGATTTATGGAAGATACTTGAAGCGCATTAACCTACCTGAGATGGAATTTAAAGAATTTGTGCCGCGGTTTAAATCCGCCAATACCCAATTTAAATTAAGCGCCGGCTTAAATCTTGAAACATTTGATACAATTTTAAGTGGAACCAACCATATTTAAACCGCGGCTTAGATTTAAACCGCCACTCAAATTCTTTAAATTCGGCCACTGTATGTATAAAATGCTTTATTTTTCACATTAGCTTTATGTCAGATAAATAGAAGGTAGTTAAAATAGTAATAATTTGAATTTTAAAAATAAAGATATGTTTTGATTTTTATATAAATTTTGAAATTAAATGGTAGAAATTTAAAAAAGTCAGTGGGGAATTGAAAAAAAAATTCTTGAATAAATGTTGATAAAAAGTTTCAACAAGTCGGTGGTAGAAAGGGTAGTTTGAAATAAAAAAAAAATTCTTGAATAAATGTTGATAAAAAAAGTTTCAACAAGTCGGTGGTAGTGAGGGTAGTTTTAAATAAAAAAAAAATTCTTGAATAAATGTTGATATATATAGATTTTAAAAAGTCGAAGGCAGTGAGGGTAGTGGGGAATTGAAAAAAAATTCTCGAATAAATGTTGATAAAAAAGTTTCAACAAGTCGGTGGTAGTGAGGGTAGTTTGAAATAAAAAACACATTTTTGAATAAATGTTGATATTATTTTATCATTTTAAAAAGTCGGAGGTAGTGAGGGTAGTGGGGAATTGAAAAAAAAATTCTTGAATAAATGTTGATAAAAAAGTTTTAACAAGTCGGTGGTAGTGAGGGTAGTTTGAAATTAAAAACAAATTCTTGATTTTTTTTCTTCAGTTTCCCACTACCCTCACTACCTTTGTCGTATACAAATCAATTTAATTCCAAATAAATCATTCAGATATTACAAACAATACTCACCGATTATTTTTCGACGCATTCGTATATAGTTAATATTTCATAATATTTTTGATTTTGTTTTTTTTAAATAATTTTCGCTGGCGCTGGATTTTTGAACATTCCTGGAAAGTATGAAAATTTCGTCTTCATTATCAAAAATCCTCGAAACAGAAATAAATGTTTTCAAAAGTAACTCTCATATCATGAAAAATACAAAATATTATGAAATATCAACTATTTACGAATGCGTCGAAAAATAAACGATGACTATTGTTTGTAATATCTGAATGATTTGTTTGGAATTAAATTGATTTGTTTACAATCCGAGTTGAATGTTGAATCTTTCTGAATTTGTATGGACACTATTACGTTCTTTGGTATTAGTCGCTTTTAACAATTTTCTCCTTATAGACGTAACAGATAGAAGTAAGATTAGTAGCGATAAAAAGCGCTTTATTATCGCATTAAGCCTGTACCCCCTTTCATTTTTCGCGAACACTCCCTTTAAGTTTTTTTAAAAGCTGTACTTCTTTAAATTATCGATAATAATCATCGTGTCTCACTGAGTTCTGTGTAACCTATATAGGGTATATTTTCCCCTGACATGAAAAGATTAAGATTTTGCTGTTTATGGAACCAACATGATCTGGAAACAAAGGAAAGTATTGGAACCATGTCTGTTTTATAATTGTAGCTTATTGTTTTATTCAGGCAAGTGATTGGTCTGGATATAATGGACATAGAATAGAGCATCTGTGATTTGATGCCTCACATGACTTTTAATCATTGATTTCATATTTTGACCTCTGGAGATCATTGATATTTGAAGGTCAAATGTGTTCAGGATTTGGTCAGAAAGGGGACTCGGAATGAAATTGGAACACCAAAAAATCTATAATTTGATACCTTACATGACTTATTTTCATTGCTTTCATATTTTGACCTCCAGGGGTAAGCAAATTTTGGAGGTCACAACCTCCAGGATCATCTGAAGTTAAAAATGGGTCTCAGAATGGAATTGGAACACCAAAAAATTTATGATTGGATACCTAATATGACCCATTTTCATTAATTTAATATTTTGACCATTTTAGAGGTTCTTATCGAAGGGAGGTAAAACTGGAGGTCGGATATATGTGGTAGCAAAAAGTATGAAAACATGTCTGATTATTTTATAATAATTGAATTAGAGTGAAAAAAGTGGTATTTTCCTGTATTTTCTAAAAGGTCAATGACCTCCGATCTCAAAATTTCTTCATGATCTTTGTAGTTGACCACAATTACAGGCTGCATGCGAAATTTCAGCCTTTTATATAGATTTTTAGGACAAAACGCGGCCTGTAAAAAATTTGGTGTCATGAAGTGTTGAATTATGCCTAGTGATGGGCTTTTCAGGTTTTTACAAAACTCGTTAAGAGATTTTTTGAAATTTTAAAATGATCATTTTAAAAAGCTGTTGTTTTAAAATAGTTTTAAAACGACCGTTTTACTGTTGTGATTTTGGAAAATTTTCAAAACGTTGGTTTTAAAAGTTGTTGTTTTGGAATATTTCAAAACGGTCGTTTTTAAAAGTGCCTTATAAAGAAAAAAAAATTGTTTTCCATTTCAAGAAGGAAAACTATATTTTTTGCGTTTTCTGTGTAAAAACGAAAAACGATATTGTTTGTTTTCCGTTTCAAAACAGAAAACTATCTTTTTCCATTGTTTGTTTAAAAACGGAAAACGATTTTTTTTCTTTTCCAATTTAAAACAAAAAACAATTTCCGAGGTGTGTAAGTTTTGGGTTTGTACCGTCCGACGTTTGTGGGTCCGACGTTTGTACTGGTACCTTATTTGACCATCTCATCCCTGGATTCATATTGATAAATATAAAGCGATAAACATGGTAAACATAAACACAACAGTTCAAAAGTTTTCATTGGAAGCATTCCAATTTCTCATTCAGACGATTTTCCATGATTTTGAAAATGAACCACTAACAGTTGGTCATTATCAAAGGTTATTTGGATTTCAGAGATTTCACATAATTAAAAATTTTATTCTTTATATATTTCTTTCGTAAAATTATGCAAACTTTTGACTTTTGAGTTTTGTAAAATGGCAATTCTGAAGTCCCTTTTCGGGGCCTTTTCGGGGCCTTTTTTATGTGTTTTTTCTACATAATTTAGGATAGCCTGGGAACAGACATCTTTTCAGTTTTCAACAAGAGGTCTAAAATGGATGAAAAAATTTTTAGGAAGGTCAACAACCCTTCTTGTTAAACTCGGGTAAAAACATTTGAATATATTTACAATTATTTAATATCTATATATATTATTTCTCTTGGGTACAGTGGTAAAAAAAGAATATTGGGTTTTGCTCATAATGCTGCACCTCCTGCACCTGCAGTACAGTATACAGTACTACTAAATATTTACTTGTTATTGTTTTGTTATTATTTTTACAGATGTTTAGTTGTGAATTATAATTATTTGAATTTTCTTAAAATCATAATTCTGGGCCTATTCTTATCTCCGGCGTTTCTCAAGCTTCTTTGATAAAGAATAAAGATAAGACATTTTCTCTTATTAACTGAAGCAATCTTTTCTTGGTAGTTATATTTGAATTGTTAACATTCATAAACATGTGAAATATTAGTCCATAATTATGAGTGATGAGCCAGCTAAAATACAGACCTTTAAGTTTGGAGGTGGTGATGAAACCAAACTTACTACTCTTGAGGCAGCGCAGAGGTTTACTAAAAACCATTTACCCAAGGATCTGACCTCAACAAGAGTACAAGTTCCAGAAGAAAAAATAGATACCGGGCTTTCCACTCAAGTCCCAGCAGGTATGAGTGAAGAAGAATGGAAAAATGAAAAATCTAAAGAACTACAAGATGAAAAGGGGAGAGAAGCATTTAAAAAGTACTGGTCCCAATACGAAGGTGGAGAAAGTGAACTTCTGGTATGGAGATACATTTCAAAGATTCCGAAGTCCATCCCACTAGCTCTCTTCCACAACTTTGACCTTAAGATGTTTCGACTTTTCACAGGTAAGGTTTGTTATAATTATTTTATGTTTCATATTCTGATGGACGACCAGAGATATGGATAACTGTTTGATCCATGGATTATCAATACTAAAGTTTATACCTATAGCCATAATTGGAGTTAAAGGGAGTGTTTGTAAAAAATGAAAGCAGATAATGGCTGGTAGTGAAATGAATCTGGAATAGATTGCCACCCATTTTACTATATTTTTTATAGATGAATAAATATGAATAAGGATGAGAATAATTTTAATCTTCTCAGTATTACAAATCCTCGAAAAAGCGGTCAAATGTTCTTTATGAAGAAAATTACATATATTGTTTTGAATATAATCTACAATGATAACCAGAAAACTCTGGAATAGAAAGTAGACTTTTAAACTCAAGTTATGACTTTTATTAGCATTGAACATGAGACACAGCAAATGTACAACGTAAACAGACCCATTTTACTTAATAAGTAATTTTATAACTTTTAAGTAAAGCTATATTATGCTTTAAACATCATCAAATACACTTTAAAATTGCTATAATGTCGTCTTCCTATTCCACAGTTTTCTGGTTATCACTGGAGAATCCTATTAGAATTTTTTATTGCAAAAATTTAGGACCACTTTGAATTTGATTTAATTACAGATGCAAAAGAATGAAGTAAAATTGGCGGAGGTTGATTTTAATTTTTTACAGATATTACAAACACGCCCGTTAAAGAGAGAGTTCAGAAAATATTTGGTATCAGAAAACAAATATTTATATATTAAAGCTTTTTACAAAATGAAACTAGTGCATACCTTGGATATTTTGGTTTTAGTTTAGTAAAATTAACTCCACTAATGTCCAGCATATTTCCTAGGTATACCTGCATCTTCAAGTGCTGGTTTATCTAAGAAGGATAAAACTGTTCACCACCTTCCTGACCAAGAATTTGACTTCTTGTTGTTTCTCCCGGAATACCGGGCTTATTGCCATCTTGAAGTTAAGGCAGCTGCACCTAAAAAAAAATTTGGTTCCTGTATTGATCANTTTCTTTTTTTCCAAGTAGGGTGCACTATGCATGTTATTCCACACAGGGTTCTGTTCAGCCGCAAGAAACTGGAGAGAGTTGTAAAAGAACCTGACTGTTCTGAGCTCCCTTAAGGTTTACACATAGAACCAGATTCAATCAAAAGAATTTACGTCTTTCCGAGGAGTTTGGATAACAGCTAACTGCAGGCTTGTTATTAAGGAGTATATTTAAAGCTGCCAGTAGCAAAATCTGGATCCAGCTTGGTAAAAAACCTCCATTCTCTAGGTTAATACAGAGTTAAAAGATTAATGCAGGCCTTTAATGTTCTGTTTTTTCTGTTCCATTTGTGTGCAGAGGTGCATACGGGGGATATTAAGATAAGATAAAGGTTCTCTAGTTTGCCATTTTCTCTCTCTCACCCTGTATCTCTGAATACTTTTAGAAGCGCCTAGCAAGGCCCAGTTGTTGCTTCTCTGAAAGAAGATGTACTCCTAGTTTATAAGATAGAACATATATATGAGATCATCTTTGATATTCGAAAACATAACGCTGCAGCATGGTTCTTGAAACAATGACCACATAAATCTACTAGTCCTGCACATTTCCAAATGTGTTCTGACATATATATGAGATCATCTTTGATATTTGGAAATACATAACGCTGCAGCATGGTTCTTGAAACAATGACCACATAAATCTACTAGTCCTGCACATTTAAAAAATGTGTTCTGACTGTTGTTGTGCTTTTAAAGTTACAAAAATAATGAAGAATTTGATAAAATTTAAATTTATTAATTAAACCAAACTTGTCTAAATCTGAACAAAATTCTCATGTAATTTTGAAAGCACCATAAAGAAAGTCCACATTTTGGAAATGCCAGGAATAGTGATATTTTGTGATTATAACTTTACTTGTAAAATAAGGTTGACAAATAAATGCCACAAATTATTTCAAATTATCTTCATTCCATAATTTTTCATGTTTTTTTTTTTTTTGTAGTATTTTTTAACATTATGGAATAAGATGTACATTTTCTTATCTAGACCAAACACCCCTAGCCAGGACTTTACATAATCTCAGCACCAGTATTAACCCCTAAATAACTGATTAAACAAACTTTACTTTAGGGCAAAGTACCAGAAATGTTTAAGAAGAACTACCCGAATAATCTATATAACTGATTTCACAAACTTTACTTTAGGGCAAAGTACCTGAAAAGTTTAAGAAGAACAACCCGAATAATCTATATAACTGATTTCACAAACTTTACTTTAGGGCAAAGTACCTGAAAAGTTTAAGAAGAACTACCCGAATCATCTATATAACTGATTTAACAAACTTTACTTTAGGGCAAAGTACCAGATAAGTTTGAGAAGAACAACCCGGATCATCTATATAACTGATCTCACAAACTTTACTTTAGGGCGAAGTACCAGAAGAGTTTAAGAAGAAATACCCAGATCATCTATTCCTGACTAAACCAGATTTAGAGACAGGAACCTTCATTGATAAACTACCAGATAAACCCTTGAATCAGACAATTGGAACACCCTACATTAATATGGTTTCCTTTTTTTATGCAGCAGCACATTGCACCAAGGTTAAAGGCTCTGGAACCCTGTCTCTTGACACAAAAGATCTCCTAGAAGAGGCAACAAGAAAGTTGATTGGTGGGAAAGAGACTAACTCCATCGGAACAGGTGCAGAGTCCTTAATGCCCTCAATCCTTGCTCATGATGATAGTGGGGGAGAAAAAAGTAAGAATGAAGACTATACATTCGAAGATGTGAAGAAAGCAGGAGGTGCTGTTGGGTCTGTCCCCAGTTTGATGTTCTGGACCCCAGACCAGAGAAAGATATTGTTTGAACATCATCCTAGAAGCGTCATCTACGGACAATTTGGTACTGGGAAGACGTTGTTGTTAACCGAGAAAATAAAAAGGATGATACGGAGTATTATTGATGATCAGGACAAGCAGGGTGAGCAAATGTAAAATTCATTTTTTTATTTGAATTGTTTTAGCATTTTTAAGTGATAATTTGATAATACAATTAAAAGTTTTTAACAATATTTGTTTTCCAGATCCTGTTGGTAGTGGAAGTGCTGACAAAAAAGTAGAAGTTCATTCCACTGAAAATGAGGTATAATCCAAAATTTCTTATTACTAATTTACTATTTCTGATTGTAGTTATGGTATTTATTTTCAAACACAAAATACAAAATAATAGTGTTTAATGGTTGACACATATTTGAAGGATCAACCTTATTGTGTTATTTAGAATTTTGTTTAACCAGTCCATAATATGTTATTAACTTAATATGTTCTCCAGGGTTACCTGTAAAATATTAGACTTACTGACAACATGAAACTCTTCATAACAGGGTTTCGGTCTTTTTAATTTAAAATGTAATGGACAAAATTACATATTTTTTCTAACAACCTTTGCACCCTTTTTAGTATTGTAATATTGACTATTTAGGTTTTCTTTTTTTCAATGGTATTTTCTCATTTCTTTCTTATTACATTTTAATAAACAATATTAAATTTTGTTTAAACAAGGGCCAGATCTGGTCCCACACAAAGTTTGGGCCAAGTTTGTTGAAGTGTTTATTATGAACATAAAAACCAATAAACATAAAGAAACGTACAATAAAATGAATTGTTATATTTTCTTATACAGTTTATGGAGCCTGATTTCTTAAATCATATCTAAAGCAAATTTATCAAAAAGTTAAATGATATTTCTGAATTAACGCAAAACCATTGCTTGTACCTTGCATTGATTATGCTTTTTTGTTATCTGCTAACTTTTCCCCACAGTTTTCTACTGAAGGTTTATTTCCCTTCAATTACATATTTAAGGATGTATTGTATTTGCTTGTATTGCCTTGTATTGTATAGTAAGGGATCCAAGGGGAACAATACTAACCAAGGGATCCAAGGGGAACAATACTAACCAAGAAATCCAAGGGGAACAATACTAACCAAGGAATCCAAGGGGAACACTACTAACCAAGGAATCTAAGGGGAACAATACTAACCAAGGATCCAAAGGGGAACACTACTAACCAAGGGATTTAAGGGGAACAATACTTACCAAGGAATCCAAGGGGAACAATACTTACCAAGGAATCCAAGGGGAACAATACTAACCAAGGATCCAAAGGGGAACACTACTAACCAAGGATCCAAAGGGGAACAATACTAACCAAGAGATCCAAGGGGAACAATACTAACCAAGGGATTCAAGGGGAACAATACTAACCAAGGGATCCAAGGGGAACACTACTAACCAAGGGATCCAAAGGGAACAATACTACTAACCAAGGGATCAAAGGGGAACAATACTAACCAAGGGATCCAAAGGGAACACTACTAACCAAGGGATCCAAGGGGAACAATAATAACCAAGGGATCCAAGAGGATCAATAATAACCAAGGGATCCAAGGGGAACAATAATAACCAAGNATTCAGATTCCAGCAGATATGAGTGAAGGTGAATGGAAAGCTAAAGCTAAGGAAATAACTGATGTAAATGAGAGAGAAGCATTTAAAAAGTACTGGTCCCAGATCAAAGGTGGAGAAAGTGAACTTCTGGTATGGAGATACATTGAAAAGATTCCGAAGTCCATCCCACTAGCTCTCTTCCACAACTTTGACCTTCGCATGTTTCATCTTTTCACAGGTAAGGTTTGGTATAATTATTTTATGTTTCATATTCTGATGGACGACAAGAGATATGGATAACTGATTGATCCATGGAGTATCAATACTAAAGTTTATACCATGTAGCCATAATTAAAACAGAAATAATAAATTCTGATTTAAAATTTTATTCTATTATAATGGTAGATAAGTTTGGAGTTAAAGGGAGTGTTTGTAAAAAATGAAAGCGGGTAACGGCTGAATGTGAAATGAATCTGGAATCGATTGCCACCCATTTTACTTTATTTTTTATAGATGAATAAGTATGTATAAGGATGAGAATAATCTTAATCTTCTCAGTATTACAAATCCATAAAAAAGGGGTCAAAATGTTCTTTATGAAGAAAATTACATGTATTGTTTTGAATATAATCTACAATGATAACTAGAAAACTCTGGAATAGGAATTCGACTTTTAAACTCAAGTTATGACTTTTATTAGCGCATATGAACATGAGACACAGCAAATGTGCAATGTAAACAGACCCATTTTACTTAATAAGTAAATTTATAACTTTCAAGTAAAGCTATATGCCTTAAACAACATCAAATGCACTTTAGAATTGCTAAAATATCGTCTTCCTATTTTACAGTTTTCTGGTAATCAGAAAATATTTGGTATCATAAAACGAATACTTAAATGCTATATCCTTCAATTTTGGTTATCCCTATTCCCTGCTGGGCTCTAACCATGGGATATTCAAGAGAAATTTATTTAAGGAACCTTTTCTTGAAGCTCATAAGAATGCAAAACCCATAAAAACTATTAAAAAACTCGGGGCGAAATCTCAATGCTGCATAGAGTTAGATGTGACATGCTAAAACAAGTTTAGGGGTTAATATTTCTGCATTAATTCAATACAATAATCGTCTTCACGAAATAACCATTTAAATTTTTTTAAATTATATGGATTAATAGTCCAGTAAATATTTATCACCATGTTATTGTGATCTTAACAGGACAAGGTTTCATAAACCTTCAGGAACCATATTGATCTTCACTATTCCTAGGTATCCCTGCATCTTCAAGTGATGGTAAAAATAAGAAGACCTCTGCACCTTCAAGTGATGGTACAGATAAGAAGACCTCTGCACCTTCAAGTGATGGTACAGATAAGAAGACCTCTGCATCTTCAAGTGACGGTACAGATAAGAAGACCTCTGCACCTTTAAGTGATGGTAAAAATAAGAAGACCTCTGCATCTTTAAGTGACGGTACAGATAAGAAGACCTCTGCACCTTCAAGTGATGGTAAAAATAAGAAGGATAACTCTGTTCACCACCTTCCTAACCAAGAATTTGACTTCTTGTTGATTCTCCCGGAATACCGGTTTTACTGCCATCTTGAAGTCAAGGCAGCTGAAAAAGTCAATGGTTCCTGTATTGATCAGCTAGAGAGAGGAAGAAGCTTCTTCAAGATGGTTCAAGAATATCTGGGAGAAGAAGAATACAAGGATTGGAAATTTATTCCAGTTTCAGTCTTTCCAAATGATGCTAAGGTAAGGCCGTAATTTATTGAAACTTACTTATTTTCATTATATTAACCTTCAAATATTCCTGATTTTGAGATTAATTTTATATATATTTTTTTATCTTCCAAGTATTTTTTTTACCTGATTTATTTTTAAATTAAAATCTTTTTTAACAAAATTTTTAAAAAGAGCAGTGACTTTTTTCTCTGACTGCTGTATCTTCTTTTTAGATGCTCATACATCTGTTTTCTGTTCCTCTCTTTAGATCTATGCATTCTAATCCCTGAAATGTATTTTAGCTTTTCTTTCTCACTAATATTACGCTTCCATGCAGAGGTGTCAAATTTCTATGACAAGTTAAGTTGTGGAATGTGGATTGATGACACAGCTTTCTCGTCGGGTGTTTAAATTTCTTATATATTTCCTTACAGGAAAATAAAATTGTCACTGCAAAGCGGGGTTTGAAAATTCCGCATTAATAATGACAAATGGGCTAAGAAAGGTTAGGCAAGGAGTGGATATTTTCGACAGAAGAATTCTTGATTCTTGTAAGAAAATCATCTCGGACAGTGCTTTAGAATACGGCCTTGTCTACAAAAATCTTTTCCTCGCAGCCAGCAGAGTCACTCCAGTATGCCGAGTCCATTAGCGCCTTATCAAACCAGGGTTCAGCCATGGTTTTGGTGTCTATTCTGAACCAATAGAAATTGCATGGCGGTAACATATCTATCTTTCTATTTAGCTCATTATCCAATTAGAGATAAATCCTTATATCGGCACTATAACAGTAAATGGAAACATTTACTGATACTTAAACTATAGTGGAGTGTAAACCGGTATCATAGTGCATGGTGCACTACCTATTAGGATTTTACTTTTTATGTTTCCATTTTCCTTGTTTCTGGCAAGAGGGAGGGGGAAGAGAAGCATAGAGAAACTAATCCTTTTCTGCACTATTATTTTCTTTTTTTCCAAGTAGGGTGCACTGCCATGTTATTCCACACAGGGTTCTGTTCAG